TCATTATCTATGTAATATGTATTACTATTTCTGCATAAATAGATTTTTCTTCTTCTTTAAATTAATTAATATTCTATTTTGTTAAGGGTTTTTAGGATGGTGAAGTATATAATATATACTTCATATAAAACACGTGTAGATTGAAAAAGAAAAGGTTTGGCTTACTATATATGTGTATATATTACTCTTCTGTATGTAGATTGACAATTTTTTTGTGTGTAGAATGGCATATCTAATAGAGATCAAAGATTAAAAATAAAGTAGAAGTAAGAGAAAACAATATGTTAAGCAATATTTTCCAGTAAGCATAGAGCTACATAGTTTGCATTTGTGTGTTTAAGCTTTTACATTTTTTTCCATCTGTCTGATATCCGTATTAGAGTCAGCCTATTCTGGATTCACGCTGTGTAGGGCTCTATTCGAGAGAAGCGCTTTCTACTAAAAAAATTCATACTCAAAACTCAAACTCTCGAATTCTTATTAAAAGAGGAGCAGCCTCAGCCATATACTTTGCTTTAATCTTTTACATGATTGGTGGGGGGGAGGGGGTTAAAATAAGTCATAACCTTTGGTTGTGATCCCTTTGGTGTAGGGGATTAGGCTTGATACCTACAATATTTATTAAGTCAAAAGGTTACATGTTAGAGGGGACATGGACCAAAGTTTTAACCAATATAGAAATTTCTCAAATAAATATCCAAATAGGAGTAATATTCAGTAATTAGTAGATTTACATATACTGTTTCTACCATTCCTACTTTTTGTTTCATGTAATTGCCAATATTTCCTGTGTTCTAGTTTATGTGGTATAGTTAGAATTTTCAGTTTTAAAATTTTAAACTTTAATTGTGAATTTATTTATATAAACTTTAAATTTCTTGAAACTGAATTTACATGTTTAAAAAGTACATAAAAATTTATAAAATCACAATAACTAAATATCTAAAATGCTTGTAAGAAATATCTACAGTAATAATAATATATTTTTTTTGGTTAATTTTCGTAGAGTAATATCTTTCAGGTGTGAATTTGATTTTTATATTATAGCAAGGGAAACTAAAGCTTTAGACTTTTTAGTACTTCCACAGTCAAAAAAGGGGTATTTTGCTTTTATAAAGAATCTCTGTTAGACAGTGGGAAGCAGAGTTTCCAAACAATCTAACAAAAAAATTAATGTCAGACTTTTTTTTAAAATTAAAATGGGATATATATAGATAAGTATCCATGTGTTAGACTTAGTGTCACAATTAGAGTGGAATTTTTCCCTAATTCACAAAAATAAAAATAACTCCTACGTACACACACTATTGTGAAATAATTTATACATTAGTGGTTCATCAAAAAATTCATAATAAGTGGAATTAAATAATGAACGAAGAACAAATAATCTATTATAACAAGTTAAAATACATTGATAATAAAAATAATTTATACAATAAAGTAGTATATATTTATAAAAATATTGACATTCACTAGGATTTCATGGGGCAGAGTTTTTAGATCACCTGACCAAATATATAGTCTAGCAGGTCGGCGTATCATTTGGATATTAAAAATATTAGTATTACATATACTATAGTTGCTTAATTAACCATATGTTAATTAATTAACTTTGTTTATTAAAGGGTTAGTTAATTGAAAAACGTAATGGTTAATTATTAATGATGCTCTTTGAAATTTTGTTTATTTGACTAAGACTAAAGTTGTGAGTGGAAGACAGAAGGCACAGAAACAAATAGAGTTGTGCAGAGCAGTATAATCTTCTAGTTTGCAGTCGACATGCACTGCAAATACAAATATTTAATTAATGTACTAAAATAAGAAAATATTAAATTATAGTAATTTAATAATGTTTTGATATTTTGACGAGTGCGATTTCCAATTAGATGGTCAACAGAATTCTACTTGGAAACACAAATCAAATTTAATATTTCATCTGTGTTAATGTATGTGATGTTGTTTAATTTGATATGTAGTTTTAAAAGAAATTTTTTTGAAATTCATGATTTGGTATGCATTTTAAAATGAAATTGTTATTAAATATATAAATATGACATTAACTAAAAGAAAAGTGTGTCATATTAAATTGAATAGACTGAATACTAGTTTCTTTTATATACTCCATCTGTCCCAATATATGTAATATAATTTGAGATATGGGGTTTAACAAGTATGAAATTTTCTTATAATGCTTCAAAACTATCTTTAAAATAAATAAATTATTAAATAGAAAAGTAATAATTTGTAGATTTTTTTGTCAAATAAGTAAAATGATAATGTCATCAAATATTATATCTAATAAAGAAATAAGTTATTTTTTTTAATTGATTCAAAAATGTATATATCATATAAATTAAAATAGAATTGCTCTGATAATTGGTTTAAATATGGTTATTGAGTAAATTTTAGTGTTGTGAAGGTACTTTAATTATTTAATATGTCGGATAAATTATTGTATATTCCGTACACATGCATTAGGGCTTCTACTCGGGGATCCACTCCCTGACTATTTCTTTCATCGTTACGCATTTAAACAATAACATTGCATTTATTGATGCATTTTTTTTTATTATTATTCTACATAATATATATATATACATATATATATATATACATATATATATATAGTAACAATGTAAATTAATTTTTTTCACTATCTATCTGTATTTTTAATATATTATAGAAGGTGAGCTACTATTTTTTATAAAAATACCAATTTATATCTATATAATTAGCGACGAATCGTGTATTAGGTCGAAATAGATTCCTATTCCTCTAGATCTAAACATCCAACCAACTGCACCATTTAACTTTCTTATAACATAGATGTCAACAGATAATATTATACCACGGGTTCACGCATGTAAATCCGCCCGGTATATAAACATAACTTTCCATATATTGATTGTTTTCCTACATTTTAGTTTTTCTGTTTGTATTAATCTATCTAATGGAATATATTATATATGTATAGTATTGTTCATATTATTTTGAGAGAACTGATTAATCTTCAAAAATATTTCTTCTTTTATCAAGAAAGTTTCCTTATTTCCTACTAGTGCGTTATTTCGAAAACATTCCCTTCTTTTTGGTAAATGCAATTTTAATACATCTGAAATATATGGTTCTTTTTTATCCTAAGATATCTTCAAGTCTATTTTATTTGTCATCTTCCCATTATAATTCGATAAAAGTTGCTAGTCAGACTAGAAAAAGAAAATAAAAGGGTAAAACTAATTCTATATCTTTCTCTTCAAAACTTCAAATGATCAATTTAGAGGGATATATATAGTAGTGTATTTGTTACAATATAGTTACATCATACACAAATCTACTTATAGAGAATATGAAATTAGCTTCAAAATCTATCAATCGCTTAATAACTCTCAACTAATTGTACATCGATCACTAATTTCGTAGCTAAATGATATTTACGTGTGATTTTTGTTATATACCTACTGAATTTTATCTGTCGTTGATTCCGTAGTAATCATACTTGACATATTTGGGTGGATTTGTGGGATTGAGTTGTGTGGATGAATATACAAGTGGTTGCACGAGTGATCAAAGAGAAAAATTAGAGTGTAAATGAGATGATTTGAGTAGTGTGGGAATGCTGGGCTTTGGGGTGTCATGAATTACACTCTACGAGGTATTTAAGAGAGTTCCAATACATCTCAACTTGGACATATATATTTTTTGTAGGGTTTCCCTTTGGACCTTTTTGTTTTGGGCTACTACCCTACTACTACCTAGTGTGGGGTGGTAAAAATAATGGATTCTTTCCAATTGGAATTGTAGGTTTGTCTTAATTCAAAGACTTAAAAGGACCACTAGCTTTTCTTATAGTAAGACACTCGTGGCCTTTATTATATATAAGGACTTAATAATTTATATGTTGCTTACAATCTACTTTTTATGTATACAATATGTTATTTATATTAGAATTACTATGAGTATATATATAGCTATCTCCTTCTTCACAAAATTATAGCTATCTCTTTATTCCAGATAACTTTACCTTATAGTTTAAAATCATTAAATTATGTCATTTTTATATATTTTACATATCATTAGTTTAAATTACAAGGTTCAAAAGTCTTTTGTACCTTCTTAAAGTTCGTGTCAAATCAAAATCAGACAAAATTGAAACAAATGGAGTAATTGATATTCTCTCCTTTCACTTTTATTTGTCTAGTGTTTCAAAAATATATTTTCACTTTTATTTGTTACTTCTAACATATAAAAAAAGACCAAAAAAATCAGTTTTACCCTCATCATTAATAATGTATTCCCCAAATTATTTTTTCCAAACCTACAACTATACTTATCAATTAATATGAGTATTATAATAATATACTTGTATCAATAATTATTTCTGAAGAGGTATGAAAAGTAAACAAATAAAAGTGAATGGAGGGTCACAGAGTAACTTGGTAAAACTAACTAATCTACAAATATTACATATTAAACTATATTGATAGTTTTAAAAGAAAACTATACATTAACCATCCTCTCTAAGTTCCCTCTCCAATGTAAACAATATTCTAGGACTCCTAGTTTGAAGTGTTGGAATGTGGTAAACACAGTCATCTTCATATGAATCAATGACCATTCTCTAGTAAGTTGTGGGTAGAAAAAATCATTCATTTAAATACTTCATTCTTTCTCAATATTTATTTCTCTTTTAGACCTCTTCATTTTTCTCTCTCTCCCCTACTATAACCTCATATGCTTGGATGAATCATTATAAATGAAATAAAACCAAAGAAAGGTATAGGGGGATAGAAAGTGTGTGAGAGAAAAAAGAAGAGGAGAGTCTCTTCATACTTTTTAGGGTAATTCATTCCTTTGTCAGTGTATTATACTCAAATATATATGCTACTAATAATGCATTTATGATTTGTTCTAATGTTTAATTCATTTATTTTTCCTTTTGGATATGTGTGTAGGAACTTGATCCATTGCTACAAGACATTTCATTCAAGAAATTTTCAAGAATGAATTCAAACAATTGGCTATCTTTTCCTCTTTCTCCCACTCATTCGTCTTTACCTCCTCATCTTCAAAATGATCAATCTCATCATTTTTCATTAGGGTTAGTCAATGAGACTATTGACAATCCCTTCCAAAACCAAGGTATACTAAGATATTACTCTTAACAAATATTCATCTCTGTTCTAAATGTTGAAGCGTGCGACCATAGTACTAATTCGTATTAATTTTTTGTAGAATGGAACTTAATGAACACACAAGGAAGCAATGAAGTTCCAAAGGTGGCTGATTTTCTTGGAATGAACAAATCTGAAAACCAATCTGAATTAATCCCTTACAATGAAATCCAAGCAAACGATTCGGATTATCTCTTTCAAAACAACCACCTTATGCCATCAATGCAAAATGCTTTAGCTCCTCCTCCTACAAGCAACTATGATCTTCAAGAAAATGCTTGTAATATTCAATCTTTGACATTATCTATGGGGAGTGGAAAAGGCTCAACTAGTGAAACAAGTGCTAGCCCTAGCACGAATGCTGCTACCGCGAGTGCCAGTGCTGAAAATAGTAATAACACTAGTATTGTTGAAGCTGCACCTAGAAGAACTTTAGATACTTTTGGCCAAAGAACATCAATTTATAGAGGTGTAACTAGGTAATGTTTTTTTTAAAAAAAAAAAAAAACTTAGGTTTCGTTTCTTTTTCTTTCTTATTTCTCATCATGACGGCCGTGCTCGTTCTGGACTTGAGAAAATGTAGACATAGATGGACAGGAAGGTATGAAGCACATCTATGGGATAATAGTTGTAGAAGGGAAGGTCAATCAAGGAAAGGTCGTCAAGGTGAAATTTCAATCATCAATAATCTCCTTTAAATAAATTTTCTTCTTTTTTTTTTTTCCAATTAATTGTTTCTAATTAACTAATTTTTTTTCTTTCATTTTTTTGGGGTGGATGCTATTGTTATTCACTTGCAGTGTATTTGGGTAAGCAACTTAATTAACACTTTATTTGGTCAATCTTCAATTATTTTTCCCTATCTTGCTCGGACCCTTCAATAATATCAGTAGATGCGTGTTGAATTCTCCAAGAATAGTGTATTTTTGGAGAATCTGACAGATCAAAAGTGAAGGGTCCTATTATTTCTTAGAACATAATTTTATCATTTTTTTTTTGTTATTTATTTTTGTTTGTGTAGGAGGGTATGATAAGGAGGAGAAAGCAGCTAGGGCTTATGATCTTGCTGCATTGAAATATTGGGGAACATCTACCACTACAAATTTCCCAGTAATTAATTAGCCTTTACTTAGAACAATATTAAAAATTAATAATATAATAAATGTAGTAATATTTAATTAAAATTAAGGATTTGATTATTTATGGTCGTGTATATTAATTATTTATTTGATGAGTATAGATTAGTAACTATGAGAAGGAATGTGAAGACATGAAGCATATGACAAGGCAGGAATTTGTTGCTGCAATAAGAAGGTCAGAACCGTTTATAATTAAATTGATGTTATTATATATTCCATCTACTAAATCTTACTTTTTATTGTTATAGACTTTTTATTTTAAATATATAGTCAGAGTAATGTAGTGTTCTTTTATAGCTACCAATTATTGGAACAATAATAGAAATAGAAGATTTTGGCAGAGGCAGACCATTTCTTCTTTTCACTGACAACTTCTTTTAATTTCATATATATATTTGTATTATAATTTTTAAGATTCTATTTAATTTTTTCATAGAAAATGTAACATTTTTTTACACCGTCAAATCAAATCAACGTAAAGATGACTACAAGTGATTTATACATTGATAGTGAAAACGATTATTGTACTATCAGTAAATTTAAGTTAAATTCATTTTTTCTTGCTATACATTCAGGAAGAGTAGTGGCTTCTCAAGGGGTGCATCCATGTATCGTGGTGTTACAAGGTATTCATAGTATTGTTTCCTTCTCTCTTTTTTTTTGTAATAAAAACTTTAGTAAGAAATTTTATTTTTTTTATAATTTTAGTGTTGTCTTTATTCTCATCTTTTATTGTTGGTTTTTTCTCATGACATGTCTGGGAGCAGGCACCATCAGCATGGGAGATGGCAAGCAAGGATAGGAAGAGTTGCTGGAAACAAAGATCTCTACTTAGGAACTTTCAGTAAGTGAAAATTCTGAATCCACCACCGAAAATATCTTTCATCTTCCTTTTTTCACTAAACTAAACTCTTTCCTGATTAAATGACTAACAAATATATTCTATAGTGACTAACATGCTTCAATAAATTTTTAGTTTATGTTATGGATATTATAATGTAAAAATTATTTGATCTATCATAGTTAAGCTAAATTATAATAAGTAATTCTTCAACTTATATGTAACCTAAAAGATAGAGAAATATTCAGGGGCGAATCTAGGGTTAGACTCAATGGTTTAAGAGTTTAGAATTCACCCTCGAGTCCTTTCTCACTCACCGGAGAGTCTACGTCTGATTAGGTGAGTTGCCAGATGGATCTATCATGTCTTGGGTAGAATTGACTGACGCATTCCTTAATAGATTCTTCCCACCTTCTCTAATGTTGCATCTCCGGGATGAGACTTGTATATGTGATAAATTAACAAGAATTTCTAGTTCAAATCTCAAGTATTCTGTTTCTATTTTTCAAATCCTGATTCCGCCACTGAAAATATCTTGTTATGAAGGTGGTATTATCTGTTCCTCTTTTCATGAGAAGATACATGTAATTATTACCCTAGGTGACATGATTGCATTTAAATTCATAGAAGCTTAAACACTATTTTTAGAGTTCAACTTTTTTACACTGCCGTCTAGTGTAACATAAATTTAACTTCATCAAATTATCAAAAAGATAATTATAAGCAATTAAACATTGTGATCCTTATAATATAGTAATATTAATAACTTACAAAATTGTCTACACTATTAAAAATGAGCAAAAATTATAATTTGAAGATATTGTTTGATATGCAGCTACTGAGGAGGAAGCAGCAGAAGCATATGACATAGCAGCAATAAAATTCAGAGGGTTAAATGCTGTAACAAATTTCGATATGAATCGTTACGATGTTAAAGCCATACTTGAAAGCAACACTCTCCCCATTGGAGGAGGAGCAGCAAAAAGGCTAAAAGAAGCACAAGCACTTGAATCATCAAGAAAAAGAGATCAAGAAATGATGGCTCTAAACTCAAGTTTTCAATATGGAAACTCAAATCCTTTACAAGCATATCCTTTAATGCAACAACAACCTTCATTTGACAATTCTCAACCTTTGTTGACTCTCCAAAATCATGACATTTCACAATACAACATTCAAGATTCGTCGTCTCATTTTCACCAGAGTTATCTCCAAACACAACTTCAACTTCAGAACAACTCGCATCAAGTACTATACAACAATTATCTTCAGAATAATCAAGTTTTCTTGCATGGTTTGATGAACAACAATGAAGGTAGTTCAAGTGGAAGTTATAGTACTGGAGGGTATTTTGGTAATTCTCCAGGACTTGGTGGAATGAGTTCAAATTCAACTTCAGGTAATAATGGAGGAGGTGGTGGTGGAAGTGTAGCACATGAAGAAGTTGCACTTGTCAAAGTTGATTATGATAATATTCCAAGTTACAATGGTTGGTCAGGAGACTCATCTGTTCAAGGATCAAATCCTGGTGTTTTCTCAATGTGGAATGAGTGAGAAAATAATTAAAGAGTGTGGACAAAATATTTTGAGATATTATGATAACATAGATGATGTTAATTTTCATGTTTTTATTTTGTTGGATCTTGACTAATGTTTTATGTGCTTCTTTATTTGGATTCATGAGGGTGAAATACCTCCAAACTTCATGCAAAGGTTAATGTGTTCATTTGAGTTTCTGTCATTTCTCCTCTTCTTCATAATGTTTGTTTACTTTGGTCTTATTTCTTTTTCTCTGAAGTTAATTACTTCTCCACCCCTTAACGATCGAAAATTGGATTGATCAACTTCTTCTGAGGTTGACTCATAGTGATCGTTTATCAAAGGACTTTGATTATCAAATGATTGAACAATCAGGAGAAATTTTGTTTCTATTCAATACTCAATACTATATTGTGGCTATTTATATTTTAATTTTCATTTTGAATTTTTTTTCTTTTAAGTAATTACTAGTATACGTACCCGCGCGATGCACAGATAATATTAACGAAAGTAATTATTGTGCTTGAATATATATTATACATTTATTATATAATTTTTTAAAAATTTAAATTAATATATACATCAATGAGCGAGATTTTTTAGTTTGTGAGTTTTTGTTGCACATTTGTGATGATGATTAGCAAAACAAGTATCTTAGCACTTCTTGATACATCTTAAATACTCGAATAGAACATTTATAATTTTTATGTTCATACAACAACAAAAACAATTTTAATTGATGACCATAATGTTATGTTGCTAAAAATTATGAACAAATATCAAATATAACACAAATTTATCATAAAATTTTAAGTTGCAAAGAGCATCAAATCTTACTTGAATCACCTAAATAGAATTAAAAAGGTAATGAATACAAAATTATTGGTAATAATTGATCGATCGCCTAAAACATTATGTTTTAGTCATTTTATATTTTAGGGTTGAAGAACGGAATAAGAAGACGTAGCTCAACTTTAACAATTATTGTTGATGTACTTTGAAAATGAAGAAATATTTAAAAAGTGATATTGTTAATTGTCTTGCTTCCCAATGAATCTAACAACAAATAGTATGTGGTTATGTAGCTTCAAAATTGGAATAATATATAATTATATTGGTAATAATCGCACACATATAATACATTTATCATCATCATCCTGATAACTTCACATCTCAATTTTTTAATATATTTATTTACCTATTATATAGCAAATATAAGTCGATTTCTTCTTCCTATATATTATTTTTATCAGTAGAAAAAAATCTCAGGCTAGATTTACATTATAGTACTCCGAAAAATGAATCCATTTACGTAATCATGACAATATTTTTTCTTTCAAATTTGACTTACGGTATTATCCAAAATTGATCCATAATCTTCTTAAAATAGATAATAATAATAATAATAATAATAATAATAATAGCTAATTAATTTAGATCAATTTTATTTGCCCAATTATGGGATAGATTCATATAAATTGAATATTTAATTTATGAAATAGTTTATTCTTATTGTATTATTTTTGTATTTAGGTAATAAGTCACCATATCCTTGATATTTATGGGTATTTGGACAATATGATTGACAATTTAAAATATAAAAGATTCGTTATAATTGATGATTATAAAAGAAAATGTAAATTAAGTTGTGCGACCTAATGTTATTATCATATATTTTACAGAAATTAATATGAATTTGAGAAAACATCGATATTGATTAAGTGAAAGTATAATCTTGTTGAATAATTGTCTTGCATTCAAATTGCTAATCAACATTCAAAATTGTAATCCATAATTCTACAAAATCGTAAAATATTTGAAAACAATATTAAAACCCAAAAATAATTCAAAATTTTAGTAGATATAAAAAAAATCTAAATTCTGATAACGTAATTTTGAAGATAAGCATTATTATTATACTTGAATTGAATCTAATTTTAATTAGAATTTTAGTTAGTATAAGAATCTTTAATTAGAATTTGAATTTAACATTGTTAATATTGACATTTGAAATTCTTATGTGTGTAATCTATATGTATTTGTTGAACAGAAATTTTGAACACTAATATTTGTTGAATTGATATTTTTATTCTAAGTTAATATTATTTGGAATTGTGTGTGGAGCTATGTCATGATTTAATTTGTTGGAAATATAGTTATAACTACTTGGAATTGCTTCTTTTCTTTTTTTTATAAAAAGACAAACACGCAGATTTAACAGATAGGTTTTTAATATTTTTTTAAAAAAAATTCTTAATTTTTACGTTTAGTAGGGCTCCTTAATTCGTGGCTAGTTGGTGAAAGTCCTTACTTTACATTTTATTTTAATTTAAAATAATTTTCAAACATTAATATTAAAATAAAATTTTCCAATCTTTTTGGAATTGGATTCAAATATTTCTGATTTACGTTTTTTCATAAATGTATATTTTGTATGTCATTATTTAAATATTATTATTTAATCTCTATGCATAAGAAGATAAAATTATTTCTATTGTACATAACTTCCTAACAAGTAGAAAAAATATATAAAATAATTGATATTCTATCTATATGCTAATGGCATATATATGCAATAAGTTGAAGTTTATTGGGATAATTTTGCATCATACTATAAACTCAACCTTTATATTTACAATTCTCACCTAAAAACTTTAAAATAGTAGTAAATCACAAAATTGAAAAATGTAAGCACATACATTAAAGAAAATTATCTTCATAAAAATAGTAAATAGTGTTATTACCTACATGCAAGAGTAGGTAATCATATATCATGTGCTGATTTTATATAAACACTTGATGATAATAAAATTAATTACTCTAATCTATGTGCAGTGAGTATATGTTTTTTTAGATACACCAAACATTATTATAAAATCTTCTTGATATTGACCCATCAAATATTTGAGTCAATTGATGCCGTTGAACTTTTATTGATAAAGTTTTGATATGCAGTAACTCTTATTCTATTAACGACCTCATCTTCGATATCTTCGTTCAATTGACATCTTGATGTTTCTCCGATTTTTCTTCATTTCTTCTTTGTCATGGATTTAAATCAATCGTCCATATTTTCCACATTCTATTTCCCGCTGAATCCAATTAATCTTCTATTTAAAATATATGTAATTGAATCACAATATTGATTGTTTATAGAGAGCCCATAAAATTTTATAAAGAAGTTTTTGGGATGGAAAAATAAAATTGTGGAAAGAAAATCGTCTTTTGAAAATTTAAGTGAGAATTTTGGGTATTGTTTGAATAAAGGAAGTTTTGTTTTCTTTAAATGGATACGACAGTTTTTGGATGGAAATATGTGGGGAGGAAGTTTTAATAGACAGTTTTTTTGTTTGGATATTAATAGATTTATTTAAAGAAAATATTTAAATATTGAAATAAGTAAGAATAGTTATCAACCATCTTATATGGAATAAAAAAAAAAAACCAGTTGAGATTAATAAGGATAGTAGCAAAGCACCTATCTACAAAAATAAATAGAGTAAAAAAATGTTTTTAAAATTATATTTATTTAATTCGGCAGTTTTGTATTTGTAATTAATTGAAACGGTCATTTATATTGCGCAGTTTTCGTTTAAATAATTGTTAATTTAAATGTTCAAATTAGCTATTAATTGAGAAGATGACATGTGTATATTAAAAAGCTCCTTGAATTTAGAATATTTAATATTTAATTAGTTAATAATTAAATAAAAATTTGTGTATAAATAATAATTTGTTTTTGTTTATTTAAAATGTTGTGTAACTACCGTAGAATCTATCAAAATGTAATTAATAATTTATTTTTGTTTATTTAAAATGTTGTGTAAATACCGAAGAATTTATCAAATTGTAATTATTAACATGTTTCAATATTTTTTTAATAATTATTTATTACTTATTATTTAAAATGATTTAAAATTTAAAATTCTAAAAATTTGTGGTAATGACATGTGTCATTTTTTCTTCTCCTTTTATATATAGATAGATTATAGTGTAACGTTGATTTTGATTTACTTGCCAGGTTCAAAATTTTGTTAACTCTTTTATCGCATCTTTTTGAGACACTAAAAGAAATTCAAGGATGTGATGACACACCTTGATCAAATTATTTTCAATAGTTAACTTTCATTACATTTATACTAAACTTTGTAGATAGAATATTAGGTGATGCACTCGAGGGAAGAAATCAATTATACTTCTAAGCTATTATATGTCAAAAATTGAGAATGCGGTTGTGCATCCGATTTAAAACTAATAAAATTCAACAATAAAAAACAATTATGAGCAAATCATGGCCTGCAACATAATTTATTCAGAAAAATAATAATTTAATTCAAGTATAAGTCAATAAAAGCGACCGTGTTAGAACCACGGGACTCGAGAGATGCCTAAATATCTTTCCCTCGGTCAATAGAATTTCTTACCCCAATTTCTAGTTCGCAGACCAAATAAAAAGTCATTTCCTTTTGATTAGGGATTAAAGAAAAGGTGACTTGGAGCACCATAACTCAATTCCAAGTGACGACTCTGAAAAACAAAATAATCCCTAACCAATACCGTACGAAAATTGGGGTGTGACAGATGAGATTCTTTACCTCATCAAAAACATTGCCAATCTGGTTCTTGGACCATTCATTGAGTTTCTTGCTAAGATATTTAAGTTTGCTCTGAAATTTCCATATACAATTTCCCTCCACCTTAATGTTCCAAGTATCTTGATCCACTTCTTTGAAATCATTGTGGTCAGTCCAAAAAATTAGGAATTAAAAATACTTGATACTTCTTTGATTTGAATTAGAACGTCTGACTAGCATGGGCGTATGAGCCGATCCGGTGCTAGTTAGATGTTCTATATCATTTCTAGGGTATTTTTAAGTCCAATAATGATTATGAAAACTCTATCTAATCTATTTCATATTCTGTGTTTTTTTTAGGTAGGTGATGGCTTGTTTGTTTTTCAAAGTATGTAATGTGTGCATGTTAACTATTTTGCAGTATTATTTGTGTGATGCATG